GGGATTCTCCCCCCAGACATATTAATAATATTTTATGCCATTGTTTGTTTTTCACTTTGTTCTGACATCTTGCAGCGAGAAGAGTAAAGAGGAGATAGTCTGTGTGACTTACTTTAAATTGTGGGTAAGGGTAGATAGCCCCCATTGTTCTCTGACCTGTCAATCATCAAACTGGGGGTCATATTTCATTATGTGTTCATTTTTATAAGAATTTGTACCCATGGATGTATAAAGAAGAGTTCTACCGCAAAGTTATTCTCCGTGGGGACTTCCGTCAACAATCTTGATTCTGATTGGCCAGAAGACTCGCAAAAACATCAGCAAAGATATTTTATTGAGAAGATGATCACAGAAGTTTTCAAAACCGTTTATGGTCTCCGGTACTTCCAGTCCAACGCCTACTGCATGCACAGCGTTAGAAAATCGGGCCTTCAAAATAAAAGTTTGACTTTTTTCCCAAAGAAAAGAAAGAAGAAAATTACAAAAAAAAAGGTCTTTACTCGCACATCCTTTTGGGTCGCGACCCACCAGTTGAGAACCACTGCTCTAGAATACCACCATGTCTCACAAATACAACAGCTCCATCCTGACCAATAACTACACCTGGACCCTTCCACTCTGTGCAGTCTGCTCGTTTGTAATATACTTTGTCACCTGTCTCATACTTGTCATCTGTGGGTCTAAGCTGTTTGCGTAGTGCCCTCCTTATTCTCTCTGAACATTCAGCTTCTGTGAAAGCTTTCCTGGAAGCGTGCAGTGCTGATATCTGTTCTCCTCTAGCACTTACAGTGGTGCCCTCAAGAGCAGGCAGCGTACCAACTAACACAGAAGGCAAGTTAGGATTCTGACTAAAAACGAATTGATGTGAACACTGTGCATACTGTTCTTAGCCATACGGACCCAGTCTAGGGCAGTGTGCTAGTCATATCTATTTTCCCGTTTCACCTTCTGGATGATTTGTCTGATTGTGTCTCTCCAGTAGTCCGTGGCTCCTGGGACTGTATCCTGCTGTTGTTCTGGACACAATTTTAAAGTTTTCTGCCATGTTTCTGATCTCCTTATTATTGAATTATCCTCCATTGTCACTGTAAAGACGCTGTAGCGGGCTGTGGACACTTATCCATGTGCGAAGGAGTTGAATATGGAATTTTTTGTCTTCACAATGTTCCCTGCACTGAAACGTGTAAAGTGTTCGATGGTATGGAGGTACCATACACCAGGTTCCACTTCATGTAGGTCCACTGCTACTGTCTCATTGTACTCCGAGGCTAGAGGCAAACCCACAGCAAGCTTTGGCTTGGTCCTGCTGTACCTCTGAAAAATGTCACAGTTCCGTACTGTTTGTTCCAAAAATACATAGACACATTCCTTGTCTTTAATTCCAGAGCTTTTGATGAGTCTTTGTCGTCGATCTGCTGATGCGTGGCCAAACTGTTTGAAGAGTTTCAGGAGAACCTGCTACTTCTCATGAGTAGACATGTTTTTGCGACTACAAGAACTTCATCTACAATTGGTCCCTTCTCAGTGTCTTTGTCTCTGATGTCAACATAGTAGTGGCCAGAACTGGTGAACTCGAGAGGTACAGGCTGCTTAAACATCTAAGCACTGTCATTTTCCATGTCCAAAACTGTTCAGTTTTCAGGGACGTTTTGCTTAGGAGAAGTGGAATACCAGCTGAAACCACTTCAGCTTCAACACTGCACTTTGTCTTTCCTGTTTTAGCTGGTAGTTTTACTTTTCTTGTAGAGTTCACTACATTTCCATCACCAAATTGAAATGGCCTGCAACTGTGAGTTTCGGTTCGCAGCATCTGATTAACTTGTTCTTGGCTAAGTTCCTCCATGTAGTTTTCTAGCCATTTCTCCCCACATACTGTAAGAAGTGCAAGCAGTGTCAATAATCGCTGACCCATCGACTCAGTCAGAAATATTTCTATTCACCCCATCAATGCCAGTTGCACAGCATCAGGAAACACCATGTTATACTTTTTCATCCGGTTGTATCTCTGTTCAAAGTCAATAATGTAGTCCGCCATGGACACGGCACTGTCCTTTGAAATCCCGTCAAAATGCGAGTAGGCTTCATACTTTCGGTCTTTTTCCTCCTTTTTGTCGAGCTCTGTAACACGTCTCCAGGCGTTGACTTAATTTTTCCAACACTCGTAGGGCATGGCTTCGTCAAACTTTGGCAGGGTTTTATAGTTAGAAACCATCCTCTGCTACCGATGTTAAACGTAATAAACACAACGTTTGTATACTTTAACTGCTTTATTGAGCTCGCACATAATCAACCGACAACTTCCACATACTGAACCAAAACTGTGCATGTGCTACACAGGTTAAAGGGGAAACTCTTCCCCGCAAAACACATTGTACAGGGGGTAAACATGTTAACAATCATTTGTGCTTAAACTTCATTCAAGCAGCTGTTGTGTGTCCTGTGCAGGTGGAGGCGCTGACCCACATGAACCGAGCCACCACGGTGCACGCCATCCGGGACTCGGAGCTCGCCAAGCTCCCTGAAGGCGCTCTGAACTCCATCAAGAGGAGGTATCCTCAGGTGGTGACCAGGCTCATCCACCTGCTGGGAGAGAAGATCCTGGGCAACATGCAGCAGGTCAGCGGACCTCTGGCTGGTAATTACAACCCAGTTTTGTTAGCCCGCAGCTAATTCTAAAAGTCTAATGGAATATGGCCCACACATGAAACTTCTTATAATGTACTTCTTAAATATGTATGTAAACATATATTAAACAGTAGTATTCATGTTTTAATAAGCCCACATTTAATTCAGAAACTTAAAGTTGAGAACACTTTCGAACAAATATGAGTTGATAAAAATGCCCAAATAACTTATTTCCATAACCAGCTTGAATAATTCCCTTCCTATTGAGGTGCCCAGCCCTTCGTATGCTTTTATGTATGTGGCCCTCAGTAAAAAAAATGTGGACACCCCTGGACTACAGTGTGTATGCAAGTTTTGTTTTAGGTTTTTTATATATTTAGTTTCAGTCTTACAGTAGTTTTATTTGTTTGTGTGAGTGCCAGGTTTAATGTCTCAAACATATTTAGGTGCATTAACATACAAAATAGATGTTTGGAGAATTATGTAACAATCGTATTAATGTTGAAATATTTTCATTTGGTAATCAACATTAGAGCTGAGCTGAAGCGCTTGGTTAAATGACATTTGATACAGGGTCTGTTATTGAATTAAAGACTCTTGGAGAATAATGCATAGCTCCATCTCCTGGGATGTCAGGTCTGTTCAATTTCTGTGGTTCAATGTCACAAGAGTTGACTTTAATAAATCTGTTGCCCTTTTGGGGTACCATTATAACAGCTGATACGAATCAGTTAACATGTGGAGATCAATTAGGCTTTTAGCATGGATTAAGATACAAGAATGCAGAATGGATAAATAAGGAAGATTTACTCAGTAGACATTGTTTTTTATTGAATGTTGTGAACCAAAAAGTTATTTTCTGCCTAAAATATGTAGTGAGAAAACTCCTCCTCTGCCCTGCAGCTCGTGGTCTGGCCCTCCACACCCCCACCAGCAAGTGGGATGTTGGAAACCCAGCCTCAAACCTGTCCACTGTGTCCATCTTGCCGGTGTCTGAGGACGTCCCCCTCACAGCCTTCACTCTGGAGCTGCAGCTGGCACTCAGCGGCATCGGTACACACACACACACACACACACACACACACACACACACACACACACACACACACACACACACACACACACACACACACACACGGTCCAGTTTGCCATTTTTAGAGGCACCACAGGCCGGATTATAACCTGCTTCCACCGCAGCAGGCAGAGCTGGGAGAAGTACTCAGATTGTGTACTTAATAATATTAGCAGTACCAGAGTGTATAAAGTAATAAAGAAAAGTCCTGCATTCAAAATGTTACTCAAGTAATAATACTAAAGTATGAGCATCAAAATATAGTTAACCTGTTAAACCCCATGCGAAACTGTTTCTCAGGGCTTCTTAACATTTAACAACCTATTAATGTGTCATACCCACTTAACGGGAAGAAACTCAGCTAACTGACGATATGAAATGTTCTTACCGAAACAAAACACAACTCTAACGCCGAGCGTCTGAATTAGCATTAAGCGAAAGGGTGCTAACGCACTTAGCACATAACTCACGGTAGCAATATTTTATACTTCATGCAATCTGCACAAACTAGATATCATATGAAAGCTGAGATTCCAATGGTATAAGTATCATCACTGTGCGACCAACCTTACCTTTGCTGTTTTCTGATCAAAAGTTGTGTTCAAGGGTATTAAAACGCATATAAACGCTGCTGAAGGTTAATCCAATGTCTCTGTGTCACTTTGAAATGATAACTGATAATCCATCATAACATTTATGTCAATAAACAGAGTTTTCATATAGAGTGTATGAGAGCTTCTGGTTTTGGGCATGCTGGCTGTGCATCAGTCTCATTCACCAATGGTAATGTTTAGATGGATTTAGGAAAATTCCCTCGATTATATTGGCTCTATTGGTTCAAAAGAGGTGTCAATCACCAACATCGACCGATGGGTTCCAGAGATATCATATGGCAAATACACCCAAATGACCCCAGAAGTGGGTTTCCTAAAGCTTTTTGTCTACTATCCCATCATTCAAGGGTGGTTTTCACTATAAGTAATGGGGGGGTTTTTGTACGGAAACTATAATTTACATTTTTTTAGTATGATCAATCTGAATTTACTTTAAGATAAAAACATCTATATTGATTTTGACTTTTCTAAATCCAACTCACAGGTGTATCATTGCTTTGAGAAAAAAGATTATTAATTTACCCCTTTTAGAAGTGAAGATATAGTCATTTGTTCTGGGCATGTCATTTTCGAGCCTGAGACCTGAAAAACAGGCTTGGGGCTTAACAGGTTAAAGTACCAAAAGTAAAAGTAGTCATTGTGCAGATTGGTCCATTTCAGAATAATATATATGATATGTTTTATAATGATTGATCATGAAAGTGTTCTCAAAGCTGGTAAAGGTGCAGCTAGTCTGAATGACTTTGTGTACTGCAGGGTAGCTTGTGAATTTACTCCAGGTGGATCTAA